TTGTTTGGAGTTAACCATTCAAATGTTTGGTGTTGTAGGGTTTATTTATAAACACCCATATTCGAGGTTATGAGAACAGGTTGACATTTCGTCAAAAAATCTTGTTGAATTTACCGTTTATCCTTGTCTATCTTGCCAGTCTGTATAATTCCATGGTTACCGGAGTTTTAAATAATTACGAAGCCACAGGTATTTGCGCAATGTTAATTAGGCAGATTACCTTGAAAAACATTGCTGCCGTATTTCTGATATGGGTTTTTGCAAATTTCTCAGTTTTTAATAACAATTAATTTATTTTACTATTTTTTCTGTACTCCTATAACAGCGCTAGACAACACCTCCAGAGGAATGACGCCAATTTTGAATCACCCTGTATACTGCAACGGCTATTTTATGTCTGTGCTGTCCAGTACGGTATGTCGTCTTCGGTGGCAACCACGACGCGCCGGCCGATGAAAATTGCGCATTTGCCTCACCAATTTATTACCCGTTTTAATTTGATTATTTCTTAAGCATATTTTGTAGGCATTTTATACAGGGTGAGTTTTTATCGATGACTAGTACAGGGATCTTCGGAACTAGAGCAGTTACGAAGAAGGTCAAATGGTCAAAGAATTGTAGTTTTGAATGCTCTACTCGAAACCGAATTCATCTTTTTAAAATTTGACAGCTGTCAAGAGATATTTTGGAAAAACTTATTTAAGGTAAACKTTCAAATTATTCCTAGTTCCGTTGATATTAATTTGACAGGAAAACATTAAATAGAGAACTTGTAGGAAATTGAATTTCAAACAAAATGGCATAATGACAGTTATTTCTCCAAAATAACTGTCATTTTCGACATTTGACAAAAATTTTGGKTTTTTTAAATGGCAACCATACTTGATTATTGYTTTACCGAATAGAGCATTKACATTGAATGACATTTTYCCTGTAAGGGAATATGTGCTACTTAATTTGGAAGGAATATCAAATGGAAACTCCCATTTTTGATCATTTTGTCTTATTCAGTATTAAAAATAAGTTTGTGTAAGGTTGTCTATTCCAAAAGTGTGTAGTTTTCGAAATATTATAAATTTAATGGCTATTTTGCGGCAACTTATTTTAAATCCAGCCAATCCGGTTGAGCACAAAACGAAAGAATTCGAAATCAAGCACGTTTCAATATTATTAAACAAACGAAAGACATGCTTTACTTGAACACGCCTTTTTAAATAAACCGCTTTGTCATCTGGACCAATAAGAACACACATGCCACCTGATCACACATAACCAATAATATTATGGAATATGTGGCGGCTCCTCTTTTAACGCCTTGTGATCAGACTCACAGATTAGAACTATCAGACACAGACTATACGTTCTATCAATTTAATTGGCCATTCGAATAAGTCAAGAAATGGCTTTAAACGGCATCAAAGTGGTGGAATTTGCAGGGCTGGCGCCAGCCCCCTTTTGCGGCATGGTGCTGGCCGACTTTGGGGCCTCGGTCATCCGGATCGACAAAGTAACCACCAACTCTGGTGAAGTATGTTTTAGGTTAATTCATGGCCCGGTTGTTTCAGACGGGCCCCCCCGCTCAGTTCGACTTTTTGGACAACGGCAAGAAGTCCGTGTCCTTGAACTTGAAGTCCCCCGAAGGGGTGAAGGTCGTTAGACGACTAATTCAGCGCTCCGATGTATTAATTGAGCCCTTCAGGGCCGGGGTTATGGAGAAACTAGGCCTGGGTCCCAAAGTGTTGATGGCAGACAACCCACGGTTGGTCTATGCGCGGTTGACCGGCTTCGGGCAAAAAGGGGCTCTGGCAAAGCACGCCGGGCATGACATCAACTTTCTGGCCCTGTCCGGGTTGCTATCGCTGTTCGGCCGCAAGGGGCAGAGCCCCACTTTTCCCGTTAACTTAGCGGCGGACTTTGGGGGCGGGGGGCTAATATGCGCCCTGGGCATCGCCCTGGCCCTGCTGGAGCGCCACAAGTCCGGCAAAGGGCAGATTGTGGACTGCAGCATGACTCACGGAGTGGCCTACTTGGGCAGCTTCCTCTACCGCTCCCAAGGCTCGACCCTGCTGTGGGGCAATGAGCGGGGCGCCAACCTGCTCGACTCGGGCGCCTCCTGCTACGACGTATACAAAACCAAAGACCAGAAATACATGGCTGTGGCTGCGGTAGAGCCCCAATTCTACAGCCAATTGCTGCGCCAGCTCAACATAACGGAAGAAGAGGCGCCGCAGATGGACTACGCGACCAGTCGCGCGCTGTTTGAACGAGCCTTTTTGCAGAAAACCCAAAAACAGTGGTGCGAAGTGTTCGATCAGGTGGACGCGTGCGTTACTCCAGTGCTCGACCTGGATGAGGCGCCTTTGCACCCCCACAACAGGGAACAGGGCGCCTTTTCGGGCCCCGCCCCCAATCCAGCGCCTCAGCTGAGCAGAACCCCGGCCCAGTCGCACGCGCACCTCAGAAGCCCCAAAATTGGAGAGCACACTGTGGAAGTGCTCAGCGACTTGGGGTACACGGGGGACCAAATTCAGCAGCTCCAATCCCAGGGTGCTGTTTTTAATGAGAGCAAGGCCAAATTGTAACGGGCGGGACTTATAGGCGTATATATTTAGAGTTTTGGGGGCACTGATGTAAATAATTATGATTCTTGATTAATTGGACTGGAGTTAAACAATAAATGCGAAAAAAATACTATGCAATCGACATCCAACATTATTTGGCAAGTTTTAAACCCGAATTTCAAAAGTGTGAATGTGATTTTTCGGAAGGTTTATGGACACTCGCGATTTTTTCAAGTTAGTACAAAAAAGCCGCCCATAAACACCAAGAGCCCAAAATCAAATTATTTCTTCAGCAAACTCCTTTTTTGGCTTTTCACTTGGTTTTGTGCTTCGACCGCATAAGGGTATTGCCTCCGCCCGTCATATCTATCGCTTTCCCGGTCTGTTTCAAAAACCCTTACTGCACCGCTATATTTGTCTCTGTCTTACACCTCCGACAATCAGTTCCGAAAAAACCCTTCGTGCTCAAATCGATAATTTTTACGATCAAGGGTGTCGATGGAAATAACCATTTCTACTACGATAAGAGTTCAATGGGCGCAATGTTGCCAGTCTCCACCAAAATCTTGGGCGCAATTAGCAAAAAAAAAATGGGCAATGAGTTTTTTCAGCAAGTTTATTTATTTATTAGTTTTTTATAGTTTTTAGACGATTAGATTTTTTTTTTTTAAGATTACACGAATAATAAAATGCATCGATTTTATATTTCAAATTTTGTGGCAATGTCATTTTTTGAAATGTCATGTTTTGAAGTTTGTAATTAAGTTTAAGTACTTTTGTAAGCGTATACAATGAGTTTTAAAAATCCAATGGCCTGTTCACCGCCAGATGTTAGAGATGCCGCAAATACTGTTTTCAACTTGAAACACCTTCTTGGTCAGAGTTCTTGGTCTTGGGATGGTGTATGCATGTTGCATACTCTGCATGACATTTGCGCTTCTTAAAAAGATCGTGTTTTACGTGTGACAACATCGCAAAAGTA